CCAGAAATATTTTTTGGTATTTAATATTTATTTTTTTTCAGAAATAATATTCGGACCGAAAACGGTCTGAATATTATTGGCGCGTCTATACTGTGACGCCCGCCAAAAATATACAGACCGATACCGGTCCGAATATGTTCATTGGTATATTCAGACCGATATTGGTTCGAATATTTAGTTTTCCAGACCGACAATATTCGGTCCATATATGGTCGGTCCGTATACGTCATTTTTCTAGTAGTGATTTCTAGAGCTCCACGCATCAAGCAAAAATCATCTCCATTAAGCCAATAGCTCAACAGAATCTCTGAAAATGGCCCATTGTAATCCGTCTATAGGTCTTTAGAAAATGGCTCACAAGTCACAACCCATCATCAACGATCCTGTGGGAGCAAGTAAGCAATTTAACAAATTCAGAAATAGCGATAAAAGTTCGAAATTACATGCAATTAAACCTAAAGGTGACAGTCTTGTTAGCATAGTTATCAATACCGACAGCATACTAGCATAGGCAATTGTGAAATATGTGAAAGGCTGCTTAGAAGGCTTATACAGTGCATCGACAGACCCAGCAGATATTACATAACAGCTTCATGTAGAAATGTAAAACAGCTTATATGTTGCACCCTAAGGCTAATAAAAGTTAACCTAGGATTATAGCATGAACAGATATGCATCAGAAAAATCACTACCCCTGACGGAGACATTGTCAAAGTGTTGCCTTATCTAGAGCATTCTATTCATTCAATCAATATCTTAAATTCCTGCATTCAATATGTCCTTTACTTATGATATGAGATGAACTAAAACTAAACACCAACCTGCCTTAACCTTCATTATAACAAACTAACCCTCTGGCCCTTCCAAGATAATTTGCAAACTATTTGATGTTTCATGTCTTTTCGGCTAATGCAGTGCTAGACCACGCCTCCCATATTAAACAACCATATGCTATTTGCTGAATACAGGAAAGGAAAGTGAATACTATGTTAAAACAGAGAATTGAATAGCAATGAAAGACATAGACATAGCATGATCAAAGTGGCTCTAAAGATTCTAAATTACTAAGATAAGCTGATACAAGAATTTCTCGGTTTTACAATACCAAACATTTAAGAATTCAAAGGTTGAAAAAGATTCTAAGATAAGTTGGAGAAAAAGAGGGATAGTTCTAAAATAGAAGGACAATCATTCCAACATTTAAGACTTAAAAAGTTATGGAAAAACCGTTCAACATACATCAAATATGGGCAAGAACTCATAGCCACATTCCAATTGGTTCAATCAAGAGTGAAATACTATTCCATCCCCATTTACTATTCAGGAAACTAATCAGTTAAGCCTTAGGATGATGAACAACTTCATACAAAGTTATGCAGAAAACTTGCTTGTGCAAAATTTTCATCATGTTGTCACACAATGATTTAAATGCACTAGGCACACCTAGACACTTAAGGGTTCTTTTAGGCAAAAGGCAACGCACAAGGGCAAAGCATAGGCACACACTAACATAAGGCACAAAAGGTGCAAGGGGACTGCACCTTTCCATTTGAGGCACACCTGATGGCCTCAGAATGCTGTAGACGTAATATGCAATGACTAATATTCTAGAAATAGAAATAAAGTCCATACAATGAACATAACTCACAGAAAATAACTTTACTCGCTCTTAAATCAAGAAAAACCACTTTTCTTGAACTAAGCCAAGGCA